AAATATGACTCTGAAGTGCATTATTTAACAAAATGGCCGCAAGTCAGCCACTTTGAATTAAAAAATAGAATGACATGCATCAGGAACCCATAATCTTAATGCATGTACCAAGTTTGAACAAAATCCATCCATAAACACCAAGATCCAGTTTGCAATATGCCAGAAATGCTGATTTTTTAGCACAAAAATGGCTGCCATTTGGCCATTTTGAATCAGATAGTCAAACCAATACATCTATGTCATGATGTATAATGAATATATAAAATTTGAACATATTCATGCAGTCAAAGCATGGCAGAGATATGGCTCTAGAACTGCATTCATTAAAATAAAATTTGAATATAATCAGTCAAAGCATTTAAGAGATATGGCTCTAGAAGCCCAATCATTAAAACAAAATGGCCGCCAGTCAGCCATTTTCAATTCAATCTGAAAAATAAAATGACGTGCATCAGGAACCTGTAATGTCTAATGTATGTACCAAGTTTGGACGAAATCCATCCATAAATGCCAGAAATGCTTGATATTTGATGATTTTTTAGCACAAAAATGACCACCATTCGGCCATTTTGCATATGATCGTCAAACCAATATATCTGTTAATCTATGACATGATGTATAATGAATATTCAAAATTTTAACATAATCAGTAAAAGTAAGTCAGAGATATGGCACGAGAACCACATTCATTAAAACAAAATGCCTCCAGTCGGCCATTTTAAATCTTATCTGAAAAACAAAATTATTTGCATCAAGTCCCCTAATGTCTAATGTATATACCAAGTTTGAACAAAATCCATCTGTAAACAGCTGAGAAATGCTTGATTTTTAGGATTTTTTAGCACAAAAATGGCGACCATTCGGCCATCTTAAATCAGATCGTAAAACAAAATGATGTGCATCAAGGTCCTATAATGTCTAATGTATATACCAAATTTGAACAAAATCCATCTGTAAACAGCCAAGAAAGGCTTGATTTTGATGATTTTTAGCACAAAAATGGCCGCCATTCGGCCATCTTAAATGAGATCATGAAACAAATTTACGTGCATATGTATAATATCATGTATGATGTATGTGTGAAGTTTGATTGTGATTGGTCTAGGCATTTCTAAGATACAGGTCCGCAAAGACGCACGCACGGACGGACACACAAGGTCAAAACATAAGTCCCCGTTTTCGGACTGCGTCTGAACGGGAACTAACAAAATGGCCGTCAGTCTATCATTTTAAATCGGATATAAAAAATAAAAGCCATGCATGGCACAGTCCCCGTTAGTTATCAAATTTAAGATATAAAGTTTTGTTTATAGTAATATAGCTGAAATATAACCATGACAGGAATATGATTTTTTAACATTAAAATGATTGACAGTTGTATCTGATCGTCAAACAAGTATATGTCCATAT